CTTTTTAGCTGTTGCTTATCATTTTTGTATCTCTACTGAGATCCAGCCATTGTTTCCCACAGCATTGTTGTTTTCCAGTATTTTGCCTTTTAATCTATATATATATATATATATATATATATATATAGTCCTAGTCCAGATTTCCGTGACAATCTCACAAAAAATGAGAGGCAGGCCATTGCCAAATTTGCGTCAGCGTGATGATATCGTCTATTCAGCTGATAAAGGCTCTGACATTAAATCCTATGAACAGGAGTCCCTAAATACAAAAAAAAAAAACCCACCATGGTTGGGGCTAAGGTAAGAAAATTTGTGATTATGGCACATATAGATGGCCTGAAATGGCACTCACAGACTTAAAAATTTGAATATAATATTCTTCTTCTTCTCTTTTTTTAAAAAAAAAAACAAATTTGACAAATTTAGGGGCCCTTATTTGTCACTGGTAATTTAATATATGTCCTAGAGACACATTATTCTGTTATTATCAACAAAGCTCTTTTGTGTCAGAGTGCTAGATCGAGGACCCTATGGGTAGGAGCCCTTCGGGGCCCCTAGGAGTGGATAGCGCATAGGCATTACGCCACTGCCTATGGTACACAAAACTTTGAATCAGCACAGCTTGACTTAGCCTGCCTAACGCTGACAAATTGTTTTCTAGATGTCAAGTAAGACTGGAACCAACTAAGCACTATGTTGGCAAATCAACTGATGCGAGCCAGAGCCTCATAAGTAAGATGGAATGATTGTGTCAAATGCGGATGATAGATCAAGGTAGATTGATAATACACAACAATAATAATAATATGTCGGTCTTATATAGTGCTTCATGCATGAACCCTCTAAGCGCCTTACATTACTACCCCCTCATTGGAGCAAACACGTATGGAACACATACTCAGCTCCCTGGGGAGAATTCCATAATATAGCAGCTAGTAATCAGCCCAGTTGTGTTCAAATCTACTAGGTACCCACTTAATTGTACAATCACCTCTATTAAGTGCAAGCTCATTAAATCGTTGTGAACTTTGAAAAAAGCCATCTCTCGGTCTTACGGAACTTCCTATGCAGATTGAGGGTTGAACAAGTTATTATCATCCAGAAAACAAATTAAATCCAAAGCAAATTTCTCAATGTGTTTGGAAATAAAGGCAATGTTGGACGGAAATTACCAATAACATTATGATCAAGCAAAGCTTTTTTAAAAGTGATCTGACAATACCATTTTTTAAAATCATCAGAAAAATTGGAGACGAAAGGGAAGCTTTAATCATGCTATGGAACACAGGAACCACGATGTTGCGGAATCGAAATAAGATGTCAGTTGAGTTGAAGATAATGATGAGGTGCACTTCGCTGTTGGACAAGCATATATTGAACTTTTATAAACAACAATTCAACAAGACCTGGAGATCTAGGCAATTAAAAAATTAAAATCAAAAAGTATTAAAAAGTTAATTTATAAATCAAGTAAATCACTATAAAATAAAAAAAGTGACAAAGTAATATGTCTAAAAACGAAAAAAAAAAAGGAAGCTATTTATATCACTATTAAAGATGAATGACAAAGTCAACTTCTGTATGACCTGGTTACATATCAAAAGGGGATCTAGGTCAAGTGCAGTTTTGATAAATGTGATGATCATACAGGCACATTTAGTTGGATTAGGTTTCATAAAGTTTAAATAATAAATGCATTTCCAAAGTCATTCCTAAATGTTGATTCTACAATCGTCATACCAACATACTTAAGTAACTTTTTTAGAAATCGATGCATCATTATTCATACAGAGAAACCCAGAAGGTTCCAATTTTGTTCCTTGTGGAACGCCTGCATTAACTTTTAAAAGTGACATAGTTGGAAAGCATTCCCTAGTGATCGAAAAACTGTTTTCTTTCAGTAAGAAAGCTGTAGTCCCATGGTATTAACTCTGGTCTTGACCCGAAAGATAGCATTTTAGTATTTGCATACATATTAGACAACACTAGTCCTTGATGCATGGCAATAACAGAGACCAATATGATATGCCCTCTTTTTATAAGCAGTTGACGATAAGATAAAATCTGAAAAGATATACTTTTTTATAAAATAAATCATGAATAATAGAGATAAACTCAAAATCAACTTGCGGTAATGCTATAAATATATATAAACAAATTTTGAATGTTAATGAAGGGGAATCTGCAAGTGTGAATAAATAGGTGCCCTAACATATGACTCTCATTTGAATCTGTTTAACCATTATACCTCTATGGTTTAACCATGAAGCCTCTGTTGTCTAATGGTTATGACAATAGCATCAAAAGCGAGAGTTCGCAGGTTCAAATCCCGTCGGAGGCATTTTAATGTACTGTATTTATTTACATGACAACATTCGTTGAGAGCTATGCTACACGATGTACCATTATGTCCTTTATTCAAACACTGTATTTACCTTTCTTTGATAATTTATAGTAATTTAACAGTGTATATAAATCAAGTTGTTGCTGATTAGCACTGGGAACACAAATAACATATCAAATATAATGTATACGTATATGATGACATCTTATTGTTGGTTTACAGTATTCCTAGTACTTTTCTTTAAATTTTGCAGAGTTACTCCACATTCGTTCAGCAGCTTGCTTTTTAAATTTCTGTTGTGGCATTTACAAACTATACGAGCTGTTGCACACCACCAAAAGTCATTCAACATAATATTTTTAAATATTCTAGAGGCACTTACACGTGTTTGAACATCGAGAGGAAGGTAGTCAGCAATATCTTTTCTATGCTTTCTTAGAAACTGCCTCAAACAAACCAACCATTCTAAAATGCTTCTCTCAAGGTTTTCCTTCGCAAAACTTGAACAACGGCTTAAAATATCCTATAGAAAGAAAAGGAAATCATCTATTGTACAGTAGTAGTAGCAGTGATGGTGCCAAAATCTGCCCGACAGAGGCTATGCTTCCCCGACAGGGGGTTGTAGCCCCCTCAGCCTCCCCCACCCCCACTCTGGTGCCACCACTGAGTAGAACAGTAGTAGTAGTAGAGATCAATCAATCATTCACTCAAGCACTTAATATTTGGCAGCCACCATTATGCAGGGTTCATATTTTAAGAATAGGAACAGAAAACAACATTACAGTATGCAGGGTATATTTTCAAATATATAAAAATATGAATTTAATATAATTTATTACTGTAGTCTAAGTCAGGGCCAGAAAAATTGGACAGCCATTCAACTGGCAGTCAGAAACATTGGGCATTTTTTAAAAATCACTGTACAGGTTATATAGTTTACAGATAACATTTGCTGCTGGAGCCATTTTAAAGATAATTTTGAAATATGGGATAAATATTATTGATTGATAAATTGTAAGTATCTCAATTTATATCACACACTCTAAAAAAATGTTAACTACAACAATGAACAAAAACAAAAAAAATATAAGAAGTATACAATTTATTAAACCAAAAATCAACTATATTTATATTTAAAAAAATCTAATTAAAATGCAATAAACAAGGAAAAATGCAATGTGAATACATTGCATTTGTGTTCTAATCCCAGGATTACAGACATTTTAAATAAATTAATTTGAACAACAGAGATCCACATAAATATTAAGAAATCAGCTGTATGATCAGATTACCCATATAACTGAAGGCTTTTAGGTAATGAATTTGTCTGAACTCAAATGCAGGGACAAGTATGGTCGCAACCTGAGGTTATAGCATGCGCCGGCAGGAAACAAATTGGATGGCAGGTATCTTAAATCATAAAATCTACAAAAACATTGTGTTCCATGTCAAATATATTAAAAGCGTAGGCTGCCGGCACCTTGACCTCTGACGATTAGTGCCAACAAATTTTCACAAAAACGTGATGCAATAATAACAAAATTATTATTATTGTTTATTTTGGGAAAAAATATTTCTGCCACTCCAAATTTCTTTCCGATTATTCTTTCTTATATGCTTCTTCCGTATTTTCGTTAAATTTATTTTACTAAATACATATTTTGCATAATATAAATTCATAAATAAGTATATCATTTTGATACATATTTACATATTTTAACTGAACTCTAGAACAAGGCCTGTGTATACATTAAGTCTGTATTTAACATATTTCAATCTTATTGCTTTATTTAAATATTATCAAATATTATTATAATAAACTTAACATTATTTCATATGATGTATTTTTCAAATAAATATCTAAACAATTTTAATTGATTAAATATAACCTCTGAATGTAAATTTACATAGAATTTACGTATCAATAAAAATAAGACATAGTACGATTACGATTATGATTTATTGGGTTCACTTTTAGATCAGTGGCACCCATCACTTAGATGGTGCACCCATTAACAATATAAAATATAAGCAAAGGAAAGCAAAAGACAGTTCAAAAACAACAAAAGGATAAATAGCATAACAAAAAAAAACCAAGCAATTTACAGTAAAATTTTACCCTTATTATTTAAAAAGAAAAATTCTTACTAAAATATAGTAAGTAAACTGAATGAAACACACTGAGCTGCACAACAACCTGTACTTAGAAGTCGTGTGAAGTTACCGGATTATGTATTTATTTTATTTATTTATTAATTACTTTTTTCTATGGACCAGGACAGAATTAAAGTCAAATTCAGTAAAATATTACAGGTTCTTGTACAGCTCATTGCGTTTCATCCAAGCAATAGAAAGGTATTTTTTACAATATTTGTCAAAGATAAAACTTGCATCATTGTAATCAGAATCAACCAAATTGTATTTAAGGGGCAATTCATTATGGATAGTAGTCATCCTTATCTATTCATTAAGAAGAATAACATTTTCAATGTTCTAATCAATTTTATATAGATGGAGTTCATTTTAACCTTGTTAAAAAGATACACTTTCTCAACCAAAAGGCTTTTTCTATGAATGGAATGACCTGTTCGAAGCATGAACTCCTGTAGACCAAACCCAGTACCGTTACGAATTTAATCGTGCGGGAAATGCACTCATGAGGCTATCGAGGCAAAAAATAATACTGTACTCTAATTATATTAATTGATATATAATAACATTAATGTTCAAATATTGTTCTGTATCATAGCACCATAAACACAATATAAAAAATAGATAAAAAATAATAACAGGGCTCAAATATAAACTCTATTTTAACAGTCTTGTGGTAATCTATCTATATTATAATTCAAAGCATAAAACCACAATGCAAAACTGCCCGAATGAAGATCAATCAATAATTCAGATTAATTAAGGGAAAAATAATTAAATTTGCCATCCTTTTTTCACATAAGTAGCTGTCTCACGAGCACATGCTGATCTCAATTACAATTTAAACACTCTCTGAGAAAATATCGTGCATCTCAAATGATAATTTTATAATTGCATCTGGTGTAGAAATTTATGGAAAGCAGTATTCATTAATTAATAATTTTACATAATTATTAAATAATAATAATATTGTAAATTTGAAAATATTTATATTTTTGTGATATTAATTAAAAAAGATTTTGTAAATATGTAATAAATGCTCTGCCTATTACAATCTGACAGGCAACTTCCATTGATGATTTTAAGGCAGCTTTAAAAACTCACCTTTTTAACTTGTATTTTTCTTAATTTTTTTCCCCCAAATTTTATTTTTACTGTTAAGCGCATTGAGGCTTTAGCATAATGCGCTATATAAGCCAAAATTATTATTATTATTATTATTAAACATTTTTCCATGTATTATCTATACATTTATAAAATTCATCAATTTATATCCTTTAATTAATAATTTTACATAATAATCATTAAAAAATAATATTATAAATTTGAAAATAATATTTCTATTTTTTTAATATTAATTAAAAAAGATTTTGTACATATATAATAAATATTTTTTATGTAGTATCTGTACATTTATAAAACTAAAACATTTTGTACATTTAGGCCACCATTTAAAAAATATACTGCTTTTTTTCTTATTGCTTAATTACTGATCAAGGGTTATCCTCTGTTATCCATAATGTTTATTATTAATTGTTTTTGTGTTTTGAAATGATTTTTTTTTGTTTTTATAAAATGTAACTTTGCTGTATTTTTATGAATAACAATAAATATACTATACTACGTACTTCCACATTCGCTAGCCGTGTCATCAGTTGTTTTGCAGTCATACTATTTTTATAATACATACGATATTAAGAGTACTATATAGATAACTGTCTGGACTGGAGGTTATTCCCCAGTGGCAGAGCATCTGAAATCTTTGGGACATGTGAGGGAAAAGGTAAAATTGTAGGGGGGAAAAAAGTAAGGCCTACACATTGCAATGTATGTTACACAGCATTATAAAGGCTTCCAGAAGCCTGTCCAGCTGGCAGAGTCTTAAAAGAGACAACAGAAAACACGTTGCTGGTATTTGCAAGCTAATGATATGATTAACAGGGGTGGGGGGAAATTCCCCACCCCAGATAATAATAATAATCCCCCGCCCCCTGTAGGGACGCCACTGTTATTCCTGCATTTGGATTTGTGCGGTGTGACTCACTATAGTTGAATCACTTGTTTCAATAACTTGAAACTTTTCAATGTAGAGTAGTGTAATTTGAGGTAGATACATGACAATTCTGTTTTTACTGGATGGAAATAAACGGTATCTGAACGACAAACACTTAAACTACACTTCTAAAATATACATCATAATGCCAACGAGCAAGGTGGACAAAGAGCAAAGTTTTTAACAACCAAGTTAGCCATCAACCATTCATAAAATTAACACCATGGTGTACAGTATTTGGTATGAATTTAGTCTTCAAATATCCATAGCAAAGAAAATATTTCTGTAGCACTTAATTTTTCTTGAGTGCAAAATACCGGTTGCTTAAATTCCAGTGTCAGCTGTTTGTGGAATTACTCAATCCGGACATAAATAAAGATATATGTGTCACATTTCTTGTTTTTCACAATAATTTAATAGTAAAGTCTTAAAGTTGTCTAGGGGAAATATACCATAACAAAAGGTCCTGAAAAATCATTGTCCTGGACATTCGACTATCTAATGTTCTTTACTTACTTGAGTTTTGCCGTCTCTTGCAAGAGTACATTTGGCCGTCATTGACTGATACCAGTTGATTTCATTGCTACTAAATTAGTAATCTGATTTCGTTGCAGTTGAGAGTGAGTCTGATGGATCACTATGGCTTTACAATATTTTAGTGGGCCATTGACATTTTTTTTTTTGTGTTATTACAATTGGCAGCTAATGAATTCGGGAAAAGCAATGGGTCTTTGTCTTTCCATAGTTTTTTGTGTATTTTCGTCTGTAATTCGTCCAATCTTCTTTAATGGGGTCATGAAGGAATAATGAAAATTGTTTTGAGCTGGTATCCATCCAACAGTACACTTCAAAAGAATAAACTAAACCACCAAAAACTCAAGATTTAAATTTTTTAATTATTACTTAGAAAAAGTTTGGTACAGTGTTATATATTATGTATATATATAAATATAAATCAAGATATAGCCATTAACACTGTTAAATTATATATAAATCCGTGGTCTAGGGGTTATGCCACTTGCCTTGACAGCGAGAGGTCGCAGGTGAGTCCCGCCAGAGGCATTTTATTACACAATTTCTTTATTCATTTATTAATACAGGACTACATTTGTTGAGAGCTATGCTACACGATGTATTATTATGTTCTTTATTCGAACACTGTATTTACCTGTCTTTGATGATTTATATATAATTTAACAGTGTTAACGGCTATATCTTGATTTATGTTATATGCAATTGTTTATTTCTATCCGTACCTATTGTGTAATGGAGTGTATCTGGTGGTATTTAAACCTGTTGAACCATGAAGCCTCCGTGGT